TGGCCATCAAAACAGACATGAGTAAGGCTTATGATCGTATGGAATGGTCTTTCATTGAAGCCACCATGAGGAAGATGGGGTTCTCAGAAGTCTGGATTACCTGGATTATGCGATGTATAACAACAGTGAAGTATAAGGTACTCATGAATGGACAGCCACGAGAGAATATTGTTCCAAAGAGAGGTTTACGTCAGGGAGATTCTTTGTCCCCTTTCATTTTTATTCTATGCATGGAAGCGCTTGTTAGCCTTCTTAATCACGCAGAGAATCAGGGAAAGATAACGGGGATGCGCATTACACGTGCGTGTCCGTCGATATTCCACCTACTCTTTGCTGATGATAGACTTTTATTTTGTAAGGCGGAGCCCCGTGAATGTGAAGAAGTAATGAAAGTGGTTAGGAGATATGGAAAAGCCTCTGGACAGTGCATCAATTTTGACAAGTCTTCTCTACTCTCTGGTAAGAGGATTGGTCAAGAGGCCAGGCAGGAGATCAAAGATACACTTGGGATTCAAAACGACGCAGAATGGGAACCTACTTAGGGATTCCAGAGGATATCAGTGGCTCGAAATGTAAGTTGTTTGCCTTCCTAAAAGATAAACTTCGAAACAGAGTGAATGGATGGACTGGTAGGTGGTTGTCTAAAGGTGGAAAGGAAGTAATGATTAAGTCCATCCTGTTAGCTCTCCCAACCTATGTTATGTCTTGTTTCTTGCTTCCATTGGAGATATGTGATGCATTGGCTAGTGCCATTGCACAGTTTTGGTGGAGCTCAAACCCACCAGATAAAGGCTTACACTGGACAACATGGGACAAGTTATGTCTATCTAAAGAGGAAGGTGGAATTGGATTTAGGATGATACATGAGTTTAATCTGGCGTTACTAGAAAAGCAGTTGTGGAGATTGGCCCAAAATCCATATTCATTGGTTGCTCGAGTTATGAGAGGACGGTATTACCGATTAAGCTCGCCTTTGCGGAAGCTCACAGTTAGCAGTCCATCGTATGTGTGGACAAGCATCTCGGCTGAACGTGAATTATTTTTATTGGGGGTTAGACAGAAGATTCATTCAGGTTATTAAGTGAAGGTTTGGGAGGACCCATGGATTCCCACAATACCGGCGAGACCAGCGCATGCATCTGCCCCGGTACTGCATCCGAATATGAGAGTCAGTGATCTTATCAATCAAGAAACAAAGTCTTGGGATCTGGATCTTTTGGCAAATTATGTTGACGCTGATGATATACCTCTCATAAGGAGATTGACTGTTAGTCCAATTCATCGAAGAGACACACACTGCTGGAGTTACACAAGGAGTGGGCAGTACACAGTAAAGTTTGGCTATTGGGTAGCTCGCAATATACTGATGAAGGAGGATGAGGATTTGGTAGATGAACCTAGCATTAAAAGGCTCCAAGCACAAGCTTGGAAGGTTAAAGCACCCCCGAAGATGTGTCATCTTATGTGACAAATTATCTCGGGGCAGGTGGGAGTTACGAGTGTGCTGAATTATAGACATATGCGATGTGATAATTTCTGTCCACGATGCGGAGAACCGGATGAAACAATTGCACATGCAATTTTTCAATGCCCACCGGCTTTACAGGTATGGGCCTTATCATCTATTCCTACCAGTTCGACTTTATTTCCTTTGGAGAGCACATTTGCGAATATGGATTATCTATTCTGGCGGAAGACGATCATTGGTGGGCCAGAATTAGACAAGGATCTTTATCCTTGGTTAATATGGTATATTTGGAAGGCCAGGAATGATAAGTTGTTCAGAGGAATAGATAGAGACCCTCTGGAACTGGCAAGGTATGCAGAAAGTGAGTGTATTGCCTGGTTTCAAGCTAATGAGCAGGAAGTTGTGAGTGCACAAGAGACCGGAGATACTGAACGTCAGGCCATAAGTCTACGAGATATTTGCATGATAGATGGTTCTTAGACCTCTATAGATCAATACTCCCGGTGTGGTTGGGACTGGAAGGATAGCAGAGGAAATAGTCAGCTGATGGGGATGCGAAATGTGAGTAGAGTGGAGTCGGCTTTGCATTCGGAGCTGGAAGCGCTGCGGTGGGCAATGGAGAACATGCTTCAACATTCGCCATGTCAGAACTTTGGGACGGACTGCAAGGAATTGTTAGCAATGCTCACGGATCCCCATGGATGGCCAAGCTTTTCGACAGAACTGGAGAGGATCTCGACGCTGAGGATTTGTTTCCCAGATTTCAAGATATCTTATGTACCTAGATCTCTAAATGATGTGTCAGATCATTTAGCTAAGACTGCCCGATCTTTTTATCGTGATCTCATGTATGTTGGTTGTTCTATTCCGGTCTGGATTCCCAAACCACCTCAAGCTTGAGTAATAGATCAGCCTTTCGTCGTCAAAAAAAAAAAAGATATAATCAACAAAAATTTCTTCTTAAAATGGTTTATCAACAAAATTTGGGTATTTTTTGGCTTAAAAATAAATCATTTAAATCATCAACTTGCAAATTTATTTAAAATAAAACACTAACTCTTTCATGAACTAAAAATACACTCAAATTTTGTTGACAAGTCATTTTGATCATGAAATTTTGCTAAGCATACCACTTAGTTCAATCGTTAGCCAATAATAATGGTTGATTAACATTCTAAATGCCGTTTAATGTTTATGTTTTTTTTGGCACAAATAAAAATGACGATTCTTTTCAATAAATTAGATGTTAAATAGAATAAATTATTTAATAATTATAATTATAAAAAAAAATTTAATTATTTTTGATAATTTTGTCACTTTTGTAACTATACATATAGTTCTAATTGAATTATGTTTCATAATTTTTGTCAAATTTTTATGTTGTTTATAAAATATAAATATTTTTTTATTATTAAAAGAATAAAATTAATGGTAGATGGATCTTAATGACTCCATTGATTTATGAATATTTTAGATCTTATTAGTTTAAAAAAAAAATATTTTCAATTAAATGCAGAAATTTGTTTTAACTTTTATAGAAATTATAGAATTTTGTTTTTGACGATATTTATTATAAATATAAAGAATCATGAAAAATCCATCAGCCGATAACTTTGTCGTTTGAGAATCAAAAGGTTAATTAACATTTCACTAAAAAAATTTTGACAGTAAAATTATAAAACCAAATTCATATATAATTATATAAATAGTTACTAAAACTGATCGTAAATAATTTAAATTTTATTCACAATCATTTTGTAACTAAATACTCAATAATCAAAATTAATATAGAAACAATATTTTGAGAAATTGAAAATTTTTATACTTTTCTTGGAATTATTTATTATTATAATTTTGTTTATTACTCTTATAGTTATTACAAACGGATTTTTACTATTTAAAATCTAATATTTTAAAAAATTGTTGATTTCTATTTTGGCAAAAAAATATCAACTTTAAAAGTCATTTTAGGCCTAATGTTAGTCAACTATAATTGTTAGCCATCGTTAAGATTAAAAAAGATATGGTCAATAACAATTTATGATTGAGTATTTTTTTGGCTTACGAAAAATGGGTCTTATTTCAACCAAATTTATGGTCTGGTCCTTCTCTGAGTACGAAAAAAGTAAAAATTGCTTGGATAGAAGTGTGTAAGCCAAAGAATGAAGGTGGATTGGGAATAAGACCTTTGAAAGAAATTAACAATGTTTGTTGTTTGAAGCTCATCTGGAGGTTACTGACTTTGAGGAATTCTTTATGGGTGAGGTGGAATCAAACCTATTTGATTCGTAGGGGTACCTTCTGGTCTGTTAAGGAGACAACTTAAGCAGGGTCCTGGATGTGGAAGAAGATTCTCAAATATAGAGTTGTGGCAAAGCACTTCTTTCGGGTGAAAGTGCAGGATGGGAGGAGCACGTCTTTTTGGTACGATCCATGGTCAAGATTGGGTTGTATAATGGATATTTTGGGCCAAGTGGTTATATTTATCTTGGTATAGCAAAGGATGCAACCGTAGAGGAAGCGATAACTCAGCATCGGAGAAAGAGACATAGAACCTTGATCTTAATACAAATTGCAGAAGAGTTGGAAAAAATAAAAAAAATAGAGCTTCAAGAGAGGAAGATATTGGTGTTTGGAAGCATAGAGAAGATACTTTTAAGAGTAAATTCTCATCGAGGTTAACTTGGAATCTCTTGTGAACTCAAGGTGAGGCTGTGGCTTGGAGCAAAGGTGTATGGTTTACTTATTCTACTCCAAAATTTCCCTTCCTTACTTGGATTGCTATGAAGAATAGATTATCTACAGTAGAATGTTAAGGTGGGGAGGTAATGTGGTCACAGCTTGTATTTTCTGTGATGAGCCAATAGAGTCCAGAGATCATCTGTTCTTTGACTGTAGCTATTCGGAGGAGGTGTGGGGAAATCTGGCAAGAGGTGTTATGGGTGTGAATTACACGAGCCATTGGCTGGAGATAGTGTCCCTGATATCTACAGGTCCTAACACTATAAAAATGTTCACTTTGAAGTATGTATTTCAGTCTACTATCCATGGGTTGTGGCTGGAAAGGAATGGTAGAAGACACGGTGAAACTCCTTTTTCTCCAACGAAGCTGATAAGAATGATTGATAGGAATGTGAGAAACAGGTTTCTTTCAGTTCAAAAAATGGGTGATAACAAGCTGAATGGGGGTCCGCAGGTTTGGTTTTCAACTAGACTAGATATTGTTATGAGTTGAGTTTTGTAGAGATGTGGTAGAAAAATATTTTTCGGTTTTGTATTAGAATAATGGAAGCATTGTACATGTAACAAGGTTTTTTTGGAGTGAATAAAATTTAACATTCATTCAAAAAAATAATAATAATAAAATAACGTACAGGGCAAACTGATTTTAAAAGGTAAAATAGCAAACTGAAAACAATTAGTATTAGGGACATGAAGCAGACCTGTGGATAATTGAGGCAGCAATACGAGTGGGTATGGAACTTAACCTTGTCCTCTGCTCGACTACCAGTTGTAGCAGCTACTGCAACACTTACATCTTTGCACCTTTTGAAGTCTATTAATAAGATTTAGAATAAATAAAGATCAGAGGAAAGAAAGAAGTGACAAGCAAAACATTCAAACCAACAATGTAGAAAAATGTGGTTCAAAATACAAAACAAGACATAGTTTCTGCACAGACCTCTTTCCTGTGGTCAAGCATGATCAAGTTTTGTTCTTCAGAGTGTCGTTTTATTTTTCTATGTTGTTTGGCGTGCAACTTCAACTCTTTAGCCAAGTCCTCTTCTCTAACCCATTGCTTCCTACCAGAAATGAAAGTCAGAGGATTTAAATAACCAAACAAAGCAATATCAACCTCAACCATCGCAATATCAAAGTTTCAAAAGATAACTTACCGATACTCACACAAACTAATAGTACACTTTGCAAATGTTATGATAACCTACTCTTCAACCTAAAACAATAACAGTCATTTGTCGCTTGGCGACGTGATGCTCGGGATGACTTGCAAGGCCTGGATAGTATACATGACTCACCTGCCAAAAATTCAAAACGCATTGATTTAGGAGGTGTCAAGAAACTTCCTCAGAAAAGTAAGCAAATAGAGAAAATATTGAATACCTTAGGATGTGCATGTGCCTCTAAAATTTCGTGTAGAATTCTGTTGCTTTACACGAAGATGCATTGTCTTCATGCCTCGAATCATTAGGTACACTCCATTTTGTTTATCAAACGCCTTATGAGATTCATAAAATAAAGGGCTTTAGCAAAAGATATTAATTAGAGGGTCAGATGTTTCACCAGGTTAAGTGTGCCTCCCAACACATGATGCAGATTGCAAATTTCTGAAACCACCTTCAGGGGGCCACAGATGCATCCACCAAGAACCTAAGTCAAGGAGAGAACCAGTCTTTGTTAATGATGAACCAGTCAACGAGGGATGTACTTGCAACAGTTTGTACTCACATAGTTGTGTCCTCCGATGTACTTTGTAAGAGAGTGGGACAAGATCAGCACCAAAACCAAGGGCTTTCTGATTCAGAGGTGTTGCAAAGGTACCATCGATGAAAACAAGAGTTCCCCTTTTGTGGCATATTTCTTAAACCAGCTCAATGTCTACACACTTAAGGAATGGGTTTGTTGGTGACTCAGTGAAGAACAGAGAAACCTGTAAGACCAGTTGAATAAAATTGTCAGACATACACTCTTTTCCAACTCTAAGAAAGAACAACAAGTGTTACAGAACTGACTTGGTACTTATTCACAGCAGCTTCAAGCCCCTCAATATCAGCAGGATCAATCACAGTAACCTGGACATAAACATGATGCTAATCATTCAAGCTGAAATTTAACATTTTCAGGACTCAGATATTCCACCAGCAGATATTCTTCAAGTACAAATGTTAATGACTTTTCGGGTCTAAATCTATCCTTAATCTTCTGTTAGATTTTTTTTTTTTTTAAAAAAAAACAGGAATGGCGAAATTGAAAGATTGGCTCATCTGAGCTCATTTATAATCTTAATCTGTTTTTTTTCATCATGCAGCAGTTTTTGGCTGGAAAGTTTCCTTGTCTCCCTGGTGAACTACCAACATATAATGATTGGCTCTCGGAGCGTATGGTGTGAATGGTGAGTGTTGCTGCTGCAAGCCAGCTTAAAATTTCTGGAGTTGAGAGCAACTCTTGGCGCTGTGACCTTGTATGCCACAGATTTGGCATCTCCCAAGGTACGGTCTCTGACCCTTTGTTTCATTCCGATTTGGCTGTTGTGGTTGTTGCCATTGTTGTTAATACTGCTGCTGAGGACACTGGTTGGTATCGCGTTGCTGAGCAACATTGACCGTAACAGGACCATGGCGAAGAACGTTCTCACCTGAGCTGAGTAGCTTGGCTTCATGATTAAGTAAGCGTTCATGGAGCTCAGTGATTGATGGAGGAACATCATGACCTTCAATTTTATTAGATATACCACCCGGTTTAATGTTTAAATCTCGATTTGAGTTTCCTTTTGCTTAACCGATGTAATATATAAGTAGAACCGTGTAACAAACTCTTGGTTATCTCATTCAATACATTCTATTTTCATCACTCTTAATATGGTATCAGAGCCAACGTAGGATCCTCTTCCTCTTGGCGTTTCTCAATTCGAGTTCGGTGAGCTCTTGATTCATGGCGTTGAGCTCACTGGATCTTCAATCGATTCTTCTATTCACTAATCTCATGGTTGTTCTTCTTTTCAAAATCATCTCCGTGATTTCACATTTCTTGATTACGATTTTCTTCGTCTGAGCTCCGATTGATCTTTCTCTCGCCGGCATTACTCTCGATTTGGTGATTCCGTTACTCGATTCATGGCTTCCGATGAGAATCATTCTACATCTCAAGATCGTTATGAGAATCCGTACTTTCTTCACACTTCGGATCATGCGGGACTTGTTCTTGTTACAGATCGTCTCTCCTCCGGTGCTGAGTTCCATTCTTGGCGTCGCTCTGTTCGAATGGCCTTGAACGTCCGTAACAAACTCGGCTTCATCGACGGTACAATCTCTAAACCTCCTGATGATGATCGTAATGCGGGATCTTGGTCACGTTGTAACGATATGGTCGCAACTTGGCTTATGAATTCAGTTTCTAAGAAAATTGCTCAGAGTTTGTTGTATATGTGTACTGCTGAATCTATCTGGAAGAACTTGTTAGCTAGATTCAAGCAAGATGATGCGCCTCGTGTATATGAGATTGAGCAACGATTAGGTAGTATTCAACAAGGTTCGATGGATGTCACCACATATTATACGGAACTTGTTACTTTGTGGGAGGAACATAAGAACTTTGTTGATTTACCTGTTTGTACTTGTGGGAGATGTGAATGCAATGCAGCAATGAAGTGGGAGAACCTTCAGAAGCGTAGTAGAGTTACCAAGTTTCTCATGGGTCTTAATGAGAATTATGAAACCAGCAGACGTCACATCTTGATGCTTAAGCCACTGCCTTCGATTGAGGATGTGTTTAATATGATTACTCAGGATGAGAGACAGAAAGCAATCAAACCTTCCACGAAGAGTGACAATGTGGTCTTTCAAGCTTCTGCTACTGAGAATTCAACTGCGTTTGCTGACAAACCAGTGTATGCTGCTCAACACCAGCATGGATATCGTCCTAAGCAACGTCCTCTGTGCACTTATTGTGGTCAACTTGGTCACATTGTTCAAAAGTGTTTCAAGATTCATGGGTATCCCCCATGACATTGTTTTCATGGACAACCTGCTAAAGGTCAGATTTCTCAGACTGGTCAACCTGGTTTCTTTCCACGAGGACAAAATCAGAGTGGTTTTCCTCGTCAGTCTCAACACCATCCTACTTCTCAATATCCCAAGACTAATGCTATGGCTAATGTCACGAGTGCTTCTCCTGCTTATCAACCATCTCCATCTGTCAACTCCAACTTCGATCTTAGTCAGTTGAACAATGATCAAGTTCAGTATCTTCTACAACATTTACATGGACAGGTTCGACCTTCAGAGCCTGAGACTCAGATGCAGCGTGCTACGGTTACAGAACAGGGACACATGGCTGCTCAATCCTCTTCCGGTATCATTCTTACTCTTTCTACAAACCTTCGCTTTGAAAATCAAATACTTACCTATAACCATCAATCCCTTTCCACTTTATATAACTCTTTACCTAGTGGTTCTTGGATCATTGATAACGGAGCAACGACGCATGTTTGTTCTGATCTTGCAAGATTTAGTCAGCTACATTCTGTTGCTGGAGTTACAGTCTCTCTTCCGAATGGTCATAGAGAGAACATTAGTCATATAGGAAGCATTATCATATCATCCACTATTACTCTGCATAATGTGCTTTATGTTCCTGCTTTTAGATTCAATCTTTTGAGCGTTAATTGCTTGATCAAAGATAATAATTGTTCTGCTCACTTCTATTTGACTCATTGTTTACTTCAGGAATCTACTCAGGGGTTGATGATTGGTAAAGGAACTGTTTTCAACAACTTATACATACTTGATAAAGACATCACTGATTCTTTACTTGCATTCTGTGGATCCTTGGTGGACGATGGACATCTTTGGCATCAACGCCTTGGTCATCCATCTATAGCCAAGTTACAATACATTCCGGGTATTAAAGCTTTTGCGAAGTCTTCCTGCTCTGAAATAGATAAGTGTCCTGTATGTCTTTTAGCTAAACAAAAGAGATTGCCATTTGTTTCCCATAACAATCTTTCTACTTCAGCTTTTGATTTAGTCCATATAGATTTATGGGATCCTTTTTCTGTTGAGTCTATAGAAGGATATCGCTATTTTTTTACTCTTGTAGATGACTGTACTCGTGTAACCTGGATCTATTTCTTACGTAATAAAAGTGATGTTTCCTCAGTTTTTCCTGCTTTTATTAAACATGTTGAAACTCAATATCATTCCAAGATCAAATCTATTAGAACAGATAATGCTCCTGAACTTGCTTTCTCTGACATTGTAACTAAACTAGGTATGATACATCAATTTTCATGTGCTTATACACCACAACAAAACTCAGTGGTTGAACGAAAACATCAGCATATTTTGAATGTAGCAAGAGCACTTTTGTTTCAATCTAATATTCCCTTAGTATACTGGCCTGATTGCATTTTTACTGCTGTGTTTCTCATTAATAGAACACCATCTTTCTTGTTACAAAAGAAATCCCCTTATGAAACTCTTACTCAAAAGATTCCTGATTACTCTTTTTTAAAAACATTTGGCTGTCTATGCTATGTTTCTACTTTGTTGAAAGATCGAACCAAGTTTTCTCCTCGTGCTGATGAGTGTGTATTTCTTGGTTATTCCCCGGGTTATAAAGGTTACAAAGTCTTACATCTTGATACTAACACTGTTTCAGTTTCTCGTCATGTTGTTTTCAAAGAACAAAGTTTTCCTTTTAAGAACATTTCAACGGTTTCAACATCTCCTGACTTGTTTTCAAAGACTATATTACCAGTTTCAACACCGGCTAGTCTAGATTCTCTTATACATATGCAACCTCATGCATCATCTACTTTAGAGCCTATTTCTACTAGAGAGACTGTACCATTAGCAACAGGACAGAGTCATCTACTTCGTGCAAGACCACAACGAGCTGCTCGTCCTCCAGGTTATCTCTCTGATTATCACTGTTCTTTTGTTCAAAATACTACTCCTTCTTTTCCTGATACTTCTGCATTATATCCTCTTTCCTCTGTTGATACTTTATCAAATCTTAAACCGCTTTTTCATCATTACCTTCTCTCTGATTCTCTTGACCCTGAACCAACATCTTTTAAACAAGCCATGTTGTCTCCTGAGTTTCGTAAAGCAACGAACGATGAGTTACAGGCTATGGAGGATAATAGAACCTGGACTGTGGTTTCTCTTCCTCCAGGGAAAAATGTTGTTGGATGTAAGTGGGTTTTTACAACCAAATATAATGCAGATGGAACGGTAGAGCGAAGAACATCTCGGTTGGTTACTAAAGATTTTACGCAACAAGAAGGTGTAGATTTTACAGACACATTCTCTCCCGTTGCTAAGCTGGCTTCTGTTAAGTTGCTTCTTGGTCTTGCTGCGATTTATGGTTGGGAACTAACACAGATGGATGTTTCAAATGCTTTTCTCCATAGCGATCTTGATGAGGAGATTTACATGAGTTTGCCTCAAGGATATACACCAGCCTTAGGTGTTCTTCCTCCTAATCCAGTCTGCAAACTTCATAAGTCTTTATATGGCTTAAAGCAAGCTTCTCGACAGTGGTATCATTGTCTCACTGATGTCCTTGTTTCTGCTGGTTATGTTCAATCTCCTGCGGATCATACTCTCTATGTCAGGTCTTCTGGTACTTCATTCACAGCTATTCTCATTTATGTCGATGATATAATGATAGCTAGCAATGATCCTGTTGCTGTTCGTGCTCTGAAGACCATTCTTCATCAGAATTTCAAGATCAAGGATCTTGGTCCCTTATGATTTTTCTTGGGACTTGAGATTGCTCGTACTCAGAGTGGGATTTCTATATGTCAACGCAAATATGCCTTGAATCTCTTGTCTGATGCAGGTTTGCTTGCTTGCAAACCAAGCTCTGTTCCTATGGATCCAGTGGTGAAATTGAGCAAGGATTCTGGAACTGCACTTGATGATCCCACTCCTTTCCGAGCATTGATAGGACGTCTTTTGTACTTGACAATTACACGACCTGACATTACCTACTCCGTTCATTGTCTCAGTCAGTTTATGCAGGCTCCGAGTGATGTGCATCTCCAAGCTGCTCATCGTATTCTTAAGTACATCAAGAACAATCCTGGTCAAGGTCTGTTTTACTCTTCTACCTCGGAACCTTGTCTCAATGCCTTTGCTGATTCTGACTGGGCCACTTGCCCTGATAGTAGACGCTCTATCACTGGTTATTGTGTCTATCTTGGGAACTCTTTGATAACATGGCGATCTAAGAAACAGGATGTAGTGAGTCGGAGTAGTACAGAGGCAGAGTACAGGAGTATGGCTCACGCTACATGTGAGTTGTTATGGCTGCAGCAGATGCTTACTTGTCTTCATGTCTCAGTTACCAAGACAGCCAAGCTCTTCTGCGACAACAAGTCTGCTATGTACATTGCTACTAACCCTGTCTTCCACGAGCGCACTAAGCATGTGGAGATAGACTGCCACACGGTTCGTGATCAGGTGAAGAAAGGATTTATCAGGTTGATGCATGTGGCTAGTGCAAATCAGCATGCTGACATTCTCACCAAAGCGCTTCAACCTGGACCTTTTCACTCCATTCTTTCACGGATGTCAACTTCAAGCCTCTTCATTCCACACGCCAATTCCATATCATAGGCTTGAGGGGGGTGTATTAGATATACCACCCGGTTTAATGTTTAAATCTCGGTTTGAGTTTCCTTTTGCTTAACCGATGTAATATATAAGTAGAACCGTGTAACAAACTCTTGGTTATCTCATTCAATACATTCTATTTTCATCACTCTTAATAAATTTTGTCTATGATGGACTTGTAGTCTTCTGATAGACCTTCCAGAATCAGATCAATTTGCTCTTCTGATCTACTACTTTGCCAAGAATGACGAATTGATCAAGGCGGGTTTTGATGTTCTTGGAGGTAAACATCGATGGTCTTGTTCTCCTTGCTCCAGTTTTTGAGCTGTGTTCTGAGCTGTCTAATGTGACCACGGGTGGGTTTTGCATAGGTAGATATAAGGGTGGTCCAAGCCTCGAATGCAGTCGTTGAACGAGAGACTAGAGGCTGAAGAGATGCAGAGATCGCGCCAATAAGCTCACTATAGATAAGCTTGTCTTGGCGTTTCCGAATTTTCTCAAAATTTGTCCTTTTCTTCCAAAAAAATTTATTAAGCCCAAAATTAATATTTAGTTTTATTGACAGAAAAATATTTAATTAAAACTCACAATAATCTCTCTCATATGCTGCGTTTACGATATTTCGTTATTGTGACAAAAAGGAAGTGCATCAATTATGAAACTTGTATGCATCAATATTCTCTCTGAGACAATCTTCTAATTGTGAGTTTTAGTTTTTTACGCATCCAATTGGGCAACAAGATGAACAAGAAGCAGAATGATGAGAAGAGCCACTGATAATTTCTGTTTCATGGAAAAGATCTGAGAGGTAGTTCTCCAAGTTATCAGGCTTAAAATTCACCAACATCTCCATGGTACTCTTCTGTCTCAACGTTGGCAAGTACTCCTCGTAGAACTCTCTATACTCCGGTACAAGTTTCCTTGCTATCGAAACCTTAATCTCGTCCCTAAGCTTTGCATCCTCTATGACACATGGTGATTGTTTCATGTATGCTCCTGCGAATAATGCGTGAAATCTCTTGAAACATGTTATGGCCTCCTCTGGTGATAGCTTGGTACTGGCTTTTGCAGGTAAATATGCGAAAACATTACTCCAAGCTGCTATCTCGTATTTTTCAGCATAGCTTCTGAGTTTTGCTTCGTGCTTGGTGAGCCAATCGTCTCCGAGGAGGCTCTTGAGGTGAGTGGAACGAACGGTGTCAACCACAAACTGAAGGTTATTCACAATGAAGATGTAAGAAACTGACACATCCTCGTAACTCTCTGCTTTGGTGTCTACATTGCATAGGCAAACAAGTATGAGCCAAGCTAGATGGACTGAGCAGGCGTGGTTGTTTACATGTTCATCTTCCAAGACTGGAGCTGTGAAGTAATATTCTAGCATGTGGGAGATTCCTTTTAGAGGATGCTCTGTAAGGATCTCAGACAAGACACGGCTGTATTCAGACAACGATGATATAAAACTCATCGTTGTCCGGGTCAGCTTGTGAACTCCTCCTTCAAAAGTAAGTTCTTTAGAAAAATCCTTATGTATTGTCGCTTCAAACTCCTTGAGACACGTGTGGATGGAGTCCTTGAGTTTCTGGAGCGTTGAGAAGACAAGAGTTTTCACAGAAGCTAAGGAGTCAAAGTCGAATATAAATTCTATGTCTGGCCAAAGGTCAGAGATAGCTGCATAGAGATCCATCAGCTTGAAGATCCTCTCATGGTGGTGTGGTTTCTTTTCCTTGTTGGCTATGAGCTCAGGCAACATGAAAAGATTGAGTCCTGGTTCCTTTGCAATCTGGTTAAAGCAAGACTGTCCTATTGTAATGGATGCAGAGAAGACATGATCACAGAGAAGCTTCTCTCCACGGAGGAGTGTTGTGACTCCAATCTTTGCAGCTTTGATCCAGTTCTTGATCATAATCTCGAGGACTCCCCAGTCCATTTTGTGAAACTGAGAGGTCTTGACCTTCTCGATCCCAAGCAAGTGTAGCCCTTCATCAACAATAGACTTTCTGATCAACTTATAGCTCTTTATGCACTCTTTACCATAACCACAGATGATCATGGTCTCTGCTATGACCTTTAATTCTGACATCACCAGAGCTGAGGCTTTCTCAACCTGAGAGATAGATTCACCAGCCTTCTTCAGGTCATCATCTTCGACATCATCATCACCATCATCATCATCACCATATTCCATAAAAACTTCGAACTCTGAGTTGCTAGATATTGTGGACTGACCAGAGGCTGATTCAGGATAAAGATAGTCTCGGTTAGAAGACAATATCTGAAAGAACTCTTTCTCTAGCATAGACATACCAATCTGCATCAGGTTTTGTGCAAGCACAAGATTTTCAGATTTGGAGTCTTGAGAGATTAGATAGTGCATGGCTTTGCGTAAGTCACGGACGCATCTTATGAATTCTTTGGCTTCTTTTCTGCTGTGACTGAACAGAGAGGTGATCTTTTTGTAGGACAGTGAGTTTGGATCCCATTTCTTGATGATTGTTTCTGCAGCTTCTAAGGCGTCCTCCATCATGGACTGAGAAAAGGTCTGGTCGAGTGGTGAAGCTGGAAGAGAATTGAAAGAAGCAAGAGAATTAAATGAAGGAAGAGATGAAAGGTTTGATATAGAAGAAAAAGAAGAGAAGGAAACAGTTTTAGACATTTTCGCCATGGTTCTTGTTTAATGGAGCCTCTTAGCTTTTAATCTCTTGGTTGTCTTTGTGAAATCATTGAACATTATATAGAAAGATGGTTAATCTATGTTTGAGTGAAACCTATGACCAATACAAACTATTTGATTAGCTTCTCCAGACGTGTAAGCTTTGAAATATTCCGCACTGGTGACATTCATATAAAATATAATTTTGAACGAATAATCAGAAGTATAAAGGTATAATTCTTTAGGTAAAATCATCTCATGACTCTAAATAATTTTTTTTTAGATTCTTTGCAAATGTCATTGAACATTATATAGAGAGATGGTTTCTCAATATTAATTTGAGCGAAACCAATGATTCATGGCCAAAACAAACATTTGAGTAGCGCCTTCTCCATATGTAACAAGCGTTGTAATATTTCTACGAATGACGTTCATATAGTTTCTTTATAGATATAAAAAGTATTTGGACGAATACCTAGAAGATAAAAGTATAATTCCGTACGTAAAAGCATCTCATGACTTTCAATATAAAGTTTTTATATACTCCAAAAGCGACTTTAACATTTTAAACTTAAGAAGTTTGAATAATGAAAATTAAGTTTTACTATTCTTAAGTTTTAAAATTCTCCATCTTTTTAATTATATATATTTTACTAACTTTTTTTTATCATTTTAACCCTCACCTAACTATATTATGTTTATACAAAACATATCTAGAGAATCATCCTAAAAAATCTACTTCAAAAGGTTGCTGCACTAATTTATTTATATTTTTAGTTCTACCTTTATTTTTTTTCAGCCATACAACATTATTATCAATAGTCCTATTAATAACAATTAAAACAATATTATTCTCCCCATAATCATATTAATGTCTTCTACTAATAAGTTAATACCTTGATATATTCTTTTATTTTATTTAAAAAATCGACAACCATATATTCATTTTGATACGAACATTTTAACTCTTGATATAACTTTTTTTTCAATATTCATTAATATTTTATTAATACAAAATAACTAAATATCAGTAAAAAACTATTTAATATGTTTTAAAACTATTAAAAATCCTGTAAATATATACTATTAAATTAGACAAAAATCTGTCAATTAAAATTTCATCAGTTCACCAAATATATTTTATAAAGGGCACACGATATATAAAAAGAGAGAGAGTGTTCATGGGCCTTCGGATCTTTGTGGTGGATACAAAATGTTTCCTTTCAAATCTGGATCTTTAAGGTCTTATACTTTTGCTAAACTAGACATTTGATTTTTGGCTCGACTCGGTTATTTTCGGATCCAGCTGGATTTGTATCCATAATTCAAATAGTTCTAAAATACATGTAAATAATTTTTGGATATGTATAAGTTATATGGGTCTCGATCGGTTTGGATATTTAGGATCCATAAAAGATTTGAAGTACCTAAAAACCCAAAAAGTACCCGAAACACGGAAAATACATGAACCTAAAAACATTTGAAACATACTTAAATACCCAAAAGATCCAAAATTTTATCTGAAATTTGACCAAGAGAACCTAAAAATATCCAAAATTTTATCTGAATATCCAAAATATTTTTTTTTAAATTGAAAGTTTATTCGTAAAATTAAAATTGTATCTGTAAAACAGTGTTTTTTTTTAATTCTACTCAAGGATTAAAAATATAGGTAATACCAAAAACATATCTAAAATAAAAAATATACCTAATATACACCAAACATTTTGGTATCCGATCAGATCTCAGATAGAATTTGGACTCGAATAGAGACAGACCCGCAAGATCAGAAAAATACCCAACAAGTACTTTGTCTTGGATCCAAACCGAATCGAACATGTATTTTCAAGTTGGTTTCGGTTCGATTTTTGAGTGTGAGTAAAATGTTAATGCTTAATAGAGAGTTACATAATGTACATACATTTTTAAAAAAAAAATCCTTTCTTTTTACGCTATAATAAGATTCGTAAACTAATAATGTACAACAATCCTAAAACTTGTTATAATTCAAAGAATCTGCATTATCGAAGGACGGATCAAAACTAGTGTATATATTATATATATGACATAATTCATAACTGATAGGATATAGTATGTATCCACCATGATTTAATGTAAGGTTGATATGTTAGAGCATTATCTAGGATATCCAACTAGTGAAGGAAAAGATTGATCTTTTTCTTCTGAGAATCTTTGTTAAGACATCCACCATTTGATGGTGCTAAACATAATTATATATTTAATTATTTAATATTTCTCTATAACGTTAATTCACTACAAGAAAACTAAGCATTTACTAGGAAATTTTACTAGGAAAAATCTTCCTCGTAAAGTTACTAAGCATTTACTAGGATCTTACGAGGAAAGCAAATTTCCTCGTAAGATCCTCGAAAACTTACGAGAAAATACTTTCCTCGTAAGACCTTAGTAAATTTACGAGGATCTTACGAGGAAAAAGTACTTTTCCTCGTAAAGCCGTAGTAAAGACTTTCCTCGTAAAGGCGTAGTAAAATATTACTACGAAATTAGGAGGAAACAGTTTCTTACTACGAAATTAGGAGGAAATGGATAGGAAATATCGAATTTAAATAAAACACATGTTTTGTACCTAGCAAGAGTTGAAGGTTCTATTGTTGCAGGAAATTTGACGGAAGAAACATCACATTTCACTTCCTACTACTTTGCACCGAAAGTACGTACAAGGAAGCGAGCTGCGAGAAGATATGATGATGGTGGTGTCGTGCCAACATATATGGAGGACGATGTTCCATACATCTTTTGTCAAATTGGGCGATTGGGTGGGAAATTGAAAGAGATTTGGTGGTCGAGTGATGAAGACGTCCATAGTGCACACCTTTATATTCTTCTTAATTGCGAGCATCCATTGATTGCTTATTTTGAAAGGTAAATTTATAAACATACACAGTTATATATATATATATATATATACATATATTTCAATATTAAATATATATATATATAACATAACATATATATATGATTTTACAGCAAATTTGTGACTCAAGTCGAGGAAGCAATACCTGGTATATCGACACCTGAGTTAGACAAAAGGAAAGATCAACACTTTATCAAGTGGTTGAGGAAACAAATGTTTATTATTACTTAAATTTTATGCATGCATTACCACAAATTAAGTCTAATATGTCTAGCTATATTACTTTTTGTTGCAGGTTGATTATGACGATCCTCAGTATCCCGCATGGTTTCGCGAATTACTCCAAGGTCCAGTTGCAAAGGTCACTACATCATCGATGTATTTCACCCGAGGCTATACTTTTCATACCTATGNTTACTTTTTGTTGCAGGTTGATTATGACGATCCTCAGTATCCCGCATGGTTTCGCGAATTACTCCAAGGTCCAGTTGCAAAGGTCACTACATCATCGATGTATTTCACCCGAGGCTATACTTTTCATACCTATGACTATGGTAGACACCGGGCGACAAGTAATTATGGAATATGTGTGAAAGGCGAAACAAATTTCTACAGGATCTTGCAGGAGATTTATGAAGTTCAATTCCCAGGTATGGGTTTGAAATGCGTTATCTTCAAGTGTGAGTGGTACGACTCCGTCGTCAACAGAGGTGTTCGGATTAACAAGAACGGTGTAGTTGACGTCAATGGTGGACGAAGGTACAACAAATTCTTTTTTGACATATGTACATGCATGTTCTGAGAACTAATAATTTCTCCGTTGTCTTAATTAATTTTTGCAGGTACAACAAATTCGAGCCTTTCATACTAGCTTCCCAAGCAGATCAAGTTTGCNTCCTACTCATTGATCCGCATAATCGTGAATACGAAGATGTCCCTGATCACTCAACGGACGACGTTGTTGATGAGGACGAGTTTGCCGAAAATGATGATGTTTCTACGGATTATGAGAATGTATCCGAATGAATTATGTATGTTTTTATAAGTTTGTTTAATCAAAAAACCAAGTTCAATTAAGTATGTTTTATAAGTTTAATAAAAAAATGAATTTGGGATTTACGTGTAGAAGAGGTTAGGAGTTTAGTTGTAGGAGAGGTTATAAGTTAAGGAAGTTGTGGTTTGGGGTTTGGGGTTTCGAGTTTAGGGAATTACAAACCTTTCCTCGTAAAGCCCTAGTAATAGAAACACGGGCATAGCTATTTCCTCGTAAGCATTACGAGGACTTTAAGAGGAATGAGTTTTGTTACTACGAAATTAAAAGGAACTAGATAGCACATTTACGAGGATCTTACGAGGAAAAAGTACTTTTCCTCGTAAAGCCCTAGTAAAGAGTTTTGTTACTACGAAATTAAGAGGAACTAGATAGAAAATATCGATTTCCTAGCAATTTCCTAGTAAATTCTCAGATTCGAAAATTTCTATAAATACCACCATATGTGATTCATTTGAAACACACCAAACAAATACAAAATACTCAATTCATAACTGAAAGGAGTTCACAGTCAACAGAATAGTTTCTTATCAACTCCTCGTAGCTTTTCCTCAAAGAAATAGCTTGGGGCTTTTCTTCCTCGAGGAAAGCTATGTGGG